CTGTTCAGCAATATGTGGCTTGCGTGATCATGGGAATCTGAGCCGGAGTTCCTTTTTTTTTATTTGGTTGGTTTGTTATGCCTTTGATTTTTTTTCTTGCTGATTATTTCCTATTTTTCTATTTTCCTAATAGGGGTGTTTTATATATGTTGTAGTAGGGTTATCTGGCTTTTCGGATTTGACTCATGAATTTTAAAAGACTTTTGTTATTGTGATAGTATTTGGAGACTTTGACGAGGGCATCAACTTAGTGGATGTGAGAGCACCAAATAACAGACGCGGAAGTCGCGTCCCGCTCCTGAACCGCACCGGTCCAGCATTCTTATGGGTTGGTCGGCCCTCCAAGCCAGTGAACCGTCATCCAATAAGAGTGGAGTTCCTTAGCTATCTAGGGCTTATATAATTGATTTGTGCTTTAGGTTTTCACTTTTGATTGTATTTCTGTCAGGACAGTCATCGATGTCCCATTTTTTCTTTTATAGGATTGTATCCAAGAACGAGTGGTGCTCCGGTTATATCTCATTCTGAGGTAGTGGTTATATTTCAAGGGTCAAGTGGTACTCCGGATGTATCTCGCTCCTGAGATAGTATTTATTTTTGCAGAAGCCACTTGAAAACAGCCATCCTTGGCTGTTTCTCTACAGTTCCCGCCCTTCTAACCATCGCATCCTTCCCCACGATGCTCCCCCGATGTTCCCCGCACCATCCGTGTTGCAGCCACCCATAGACAACATTACTTTGTTGTGACCCCGCAACCACCCCTACCATCCCAGCCGCCCAGCCGCTCATCTCCTCCATTCTCATTGGTTATCATCGTTGTCCCAACCTCTTTGTTGGGTTGTTGTCGCCCATCACAGCAGCCTTATGTTGTTGAGTCGTTGTTTTTATGCATTCTAGCCTCTTTCTTATCCTACTGTCACCTTCCCAAGCCCCCCATATGGCCTCCACCAACACTACCTTGCAGCAGCCATAGTCGAGATTTTATGTTGTAGTTGTTGTGCTTTCCTATTCCTTTTGTGTGATTGTAATTCCCTAGTTGAAATCAGAATAATATTTGGTTTTTCCTATTGTCGTTGGGTTACCTTTGGTGTGATTTGGCTAACTTAAGTCTTATCCTAAAGTTTCTAGCATCAACCAATACGCAACCCCATCTCCATACAAAAATCTTTCCTTTGTTGAATTTTCAAATCGGTCGCTCAAGCAATTTCTTTCTCAACATATAGCATCCATATACACCACATTCCCACCCACCCAAACCCTAAGTATGCCACCAAAGAGACAATTGTTATAGACATGTTCGAGGGGAAATGTCTCAATGTCGTCTATGAGAAATCAACAAAGGAATGTCCAGGAACCTTTTCTGAAAGATGTGAGGCAGAAAATCCTCCAAATGCAATAGAGGCTTACCGCCTTCGAGAGGAGGCAATCTGGAAGGGTCACTCATAGCCAAAACAGTGACTTGTGAGATCTAAGGAATACAGTGAATCTCTTCCACCGGGCAAATTTAAGAGATGAAGAACCACTACCCCAAGACTTGACATGAAATATAAGAAAATTTAGGATTTTAAAGTAAACATGGATTTGTCATATTTTGATGATCACGTGAATTTTGATGAATTTATCATGTAGCTCTGAACAATAGAACGTGTCTTTCAGTATCAAAAAGTCCCAACAGAGAGAATTATGAAACTGATCGCGAGCAGGTTAAGAAAGAGTGCATCTCGGTGGTCGGAGAACTAGAAGATTCTTCGGGAGCTGGATAAGAAGAGTAAAATTACTGTCTGGTCTAAGATGAACGAAAGATGCAGCGTCAATATCCACCAGTTCATTACAAACATGACATGTTTCAGGACAACATCACCAGGTGACCGCCACACTTACAGGTAAAATTCAAACATATGATCCAACAGCAAGAGTATATCCAATAGAACATCCAAATCAACCCCGCCTGAGGAGACACAAATTCAGAGTGAAGAACATGTGAAACCAATCCGCATTCTCAAATATATCTCAGTCAGAAAGTATTCCGAAAAATAGGAAATAATTGAAGAAATGGGCAACAACATTACAGACCCTGAAGAAGGTGAATACACAAAGAAGTATTAGATTTCAACTAATGAAGTAGAAAAACACATAGTTCAAGCTGAGCGCGTGAGAGTACTGGAGTTAACTCAAACCACAATAAAAAAGCAAATGTTGTTAGTTAAAACAACTAGATAACTAAACCAAGCACACTGAAAAGGAAAATTAAAACAAGACAAGGCATAAACTCACACCGGGGCTCAATCCTGGGGTTGTGGGAGTCTGCTAGGTGGTCAGGCAGTGGTGTTAGGAGGTTGAAATGAGTTGTGGATTGTTGGAACAGCAAAATGAGGAAATAGAATTGCGTTAGCGATGACGTAGAGGGCCTGGAACGGCAGAATGGCCGACTGGAACAGCAAGGGGTAGCGTTGGGGAAGGGTTGTGAACTGCAGGACAGCAAGAGGAGTGTTGTCCCTGGGTTGTGGCAGCAAAGTGGATGGTTGGAATGAATGAAATAGGAGGCCGAGTGACCGGGCTATAGTAAAAAGACAGAAAGGTTGTTGTCTTAAGTGGCTACAACCAAGTGTTGAGAATTGGCAATGGTCGAAACAATAAGGCGAGGGAGGGAACGGGAACGGCGACTAATGTGGAGGGTCGGGATTGTCACGACTTAGCCCGAAGCATAGAATTAACCAAGACAAGTACAGACAGTCGAATAGCGGAAATTTAATGTTTTACATTCATGTTCTAAAACTAACATTTAACAAATGAAATAAACATTAGAGAAATTAAATTAAAACAGTACAATTAAGTTTATCTCATTACAATTTGTCCTGATCTTCTATAGATATTTTATCTGCTATTGTTCATTTTTAATCAAATAATTTAAATATAAAAAAATAGTTTAAAATAACAGTTAACAAAACAAAGCTAGTGAATATACTCCTAAACTATAATAATTCAACAAAAAAATGACAATATGCATTTCATGTAAAAATATAAGAACATTTGGGGTTTGTATCATCTAATATGATCATTCAATGTAATTCTAAACACTTGTTATGCTTGTTATATCATTTACATATATTTATTTTTTTAATCTATATACATACATCACAAGAGCACCGTTTAAAATTATAGCATTCATAGAACTTTGATATCAATATCATTTTTCATTTACATGCACGGTACCTTAGTGTCCCCCCGCAAGTACTAAAAAAGAATGAGTTCATCATAGTCAAGCATCCACATAGCGGTCTGAACATTATGATCTAATGATGATGTTACTGCTTCGATGATGTTGTCCTGACAACTGCAATGTCAGTGGTCAGGTGACAATGGCGGCATTGCTCGGATGACAATGGTCCTACAGTAGTGGCAACCCGACAATGGTGGTCCAATACGACGGTGTTGGTTTGATGATGGCGGTCTAATGATGGCAACAATGGTCGGACGATGGTGGCAGCAACGGCTAGGAATCAGTTGTGTGTTGGTGGTTTAGTGGTAGTGGCAGTCCGGTGAGTTTAACTCTGGCAAACTGATGGTTGTGACAGTGGACCAACAATGCGAGGGCAGCCCAACGATGCTAGACTGACGGTGGTGGTAGCGGATCGATGATGGTAGCCTAGCATGGAAATGGTTGCTCGACGTCAGCAGTCTGGCACAGTCGCGGTGGCTCAGTGTCAACCTAGTGATGGTGGATCAATAGTGGTGGAGCTCGAGAATCCTCAAGAGCTCAGAACTCCCTTCAGCCTTCTAATCTCAATCTCAAGCCCCCTTTTAGAAAGAGATTTGGGATCTATATATAGTACTTTGGAGTGGCATCTCCATAAATATTGCATAAATTTAGATCACACCATTTATTTATGAGTATTAAATGTCAAGATATCTTAACCTCGTTGGATTCATCTCATCAAAATGCTTGATTTGATTATAAGTTTGTCATATTTGAAGATTATTTGGTCCACCAACATATGCTTAAAATCTTCTATTTATGCTTCAAGTGCATTATTTGGGCTCACTTTAACTTACATTGGATAACTTTTTAAGTTATTTAGTTTGTCTCACTGAGACAATTTATTTGATCATGAATTGGAGTGTGGGCATTTTCAATTTTGATTTTTGAAGCTTTTAATCCACATGTGCGTCGAGATTCGTGTGGATCAATATATTTTTTTAGGAATTTATCGATCTTAATCATTAAAATTCATTAAGAAGATGCAGTAAGAAAAGACTATCAGCCAAATCATTCTAATATTTCCTAGGAAGGGTCTGCTAATTGATATGCAAGATATGCTCAAATGATAAAAGATGAACACTAAAATATAAGTGCTTCAGTTGATAGCCAGCATCCATTTATGGGACACAAGAACGACTCCACTAGTTTCAATATTTTCTCTCATATATGTTCTCTACCTCCCTCTCAGTAACAGGTTTCCTTCTCCCGGTACAATGGCTAAAATTCCCCAATTATGGAAAAAATAAAACTATGATGGTTGTTTTAATGACACAGTAGAGTTCATCACGGTCGATGTGCCTATGACATAAAGCTTCTTTTGAGAAGTCATTCAAGCTCCGTTTGGTTGCTCTGTATGCTGATGTGCATTATTTCGCCGCGAAGTTAACTTTTTCTTGTTTCAAAGCCCAGATGACAATGTCCGTTCCACCACACGACTTTTAAAGACGGCGAAACTCCTTCAAACAAAGCATAAGTGGAAAAATTGACGCCCTGAAATCGATAAGTGCCAGGCAATTACTGTGTTTATGTCATAAGGTAATAAATGGGAACCTAAATTTTCTTCATTTTTCTTCATGTTCATATATTTAACTAAAATATCATAATCTTCCTTTCTAATACATCCAATTCCATCCTAGCCTTCAGATTTCCTAATCTCTCACTTTGCCATTTCACAAATTTGAATTTCTCCTTCTTCGCCACTCGCCCCTTTCATGAATCATCAAAAAACAATAAAAATTCCATATGCTGGCAATCCTCTTTCGAGACATTTAACAGTTGATAATCATCAAGCCTCGGCAAACATTAACCATTTCCAGATACCAACATCCAGAAATTAATGAAAACATAAACAGAAGCATCAAAACCTAGTTCTTGTTGAGGTGAGCGAAGAGAGGTACCAACACGAGAATGAGTTTGTGCGTTCACTGGAGCGACCAGTAATGAAACCCCGAGCCACTCCATTCCGCCGCGCTCGCCTCATCGGCATCGTAAGGGCTTCTCCTCCACAGCAGCGCTTCTGCGGTCTAACTGGATGGGGTGGAACCACCGAAATAACCTGTTAAAAAAAACATGACCTGCTTCAGTTGGATACGAAATTTTTAAATGGCACCGTAAAAACAAATATGAAAAACAGGGAGGGGTTGATTTGTTAATACATAAAAATTAAATGGTACGTATGCAAATCTCCCAAAAGAAATTAGGAAAATAATTTCCAGCCTTATAACCCGATACAATTAAATGTATTTTTTTTTATTTCTTATTAAGTTTTTAGTTCATATTTTAAAATTATTTGTTATGAGAATTTTAATTATATTGTTAATACTTTATTTACGATTTTGTGTATTAATAAATGGTAGTTATGTAATTATCTTTTATTCAACATTGTAAGAATAATATAAAATTTTGTTTTATTATATGAAATTTTATGTGATTCCACCAAATCATGTTAATTATCTATAAGATTAAAATATCTGTTAATTATCAATTACTTGCACTTACATTAATCTTATTAGTAGTGCCACTAAAAAATCGTGCAAAAATTTTCAAATATGTATGCTCGTTATTGTTGAATGTATTTAGGAAATAAGATTTCGTATTGTTCATGGTACATACAATCTGATAAAAGACCCTACTTTTATGAAATAAGTGCAAGGGAGAGAGAGAGATGGATGACATCCATTTGAGAGATGATCTCTAGTGAACGGGACAAGGTGGTTCCTCGTAGGTTCTCTGGGTTACAAGATTCTAGAGAGGGAGAGAGAGAGGAAGGGAGAGAAAACCAAAGATCTGAGGGTCTTTTCTTAAAGGGTCTTTTGCGGAGGAGTGGAAGGGCCTTTTCTTAAAGGGTCTTTTGCGGAGGAGTGGAAGGTCCCATTCTCTCTCCTCTAACCTCTCTTTTTTTTTACATTAGAAGAGAAAAAACTATAAGTTAATCTAAATAGTATGTTCAAATGTCTATCGTTCCCTCTTTCCAATGTCTTGATGTAAAGTAGATGACATACATTTTATGTATCATCGACGTATCATCGACCAATATCAACTATTGTTGGTATAGTGGGTTTTCCCAATATATGGTCGAAAGAATTATATTCTAAGTGTAAAGCGGCATCTTTAATGAATAATTGACAGATGTCTTTGTTAGTCATGATGACTTCCTCAAATTTCTACTCTTATATATGTAGGTTAGGTTATCTTATTGAGGAGGATAAATAAAATCAAATAAGCTGCTTCACTGAAAGGGCTCGATTCAGTAATTTTAGCAGGTGAGCTCGATTAAGCCACTTCGTCAAGTTCGCTTGATTCAGCCCTTTGGGCGTGTGGGCTCAATTCTTTGAGCGGGTTTCAGCAAAAATTCTCATATGCTTGTATTTGAATGTACAACCACGTTATCAGATTTAATACAGAAATCCAATACTCTTTAACATCATTGTAGGTAGAAGTCATTCTACCTCGAACATCATTTGCATGAAAAAATGATAATAAACTACAAAAAAATTATTCTCATGAGTTTAAATTATGGTTTTGAAAGCAGCCTCCATACACAATTTTTGACTAGATTGCAGTTTATTTTTGTGATTTCTCCTAATTTTTTTTAGTAGAAATTAATATTTTTTTTTCTTTTTTATTTGGCGGGACTAACATATCCATGAGTTTAAATTATGGTTTTGAAAGCAGCCTCCACACACAAATTTTGACTGGATTGCAGTTTATTTTTGTGATGTCTAATAATTTTTTTTAGTATAAATTAATATTTTTTTCTTTTTTATTTGGCGGGACTAACATATCTAGCCAGAGAACAATAATGATTTGGATATAATTTGTCTTTATGTGCATTTTCATAAATGGGGGCTATATGAACTTTCAGTTGCCTTACCATAGGTATCATCAAAAAGAGAGAAAATTCAATGCATTTATAGCAAGTTAAATGAGCATTTTATTAAGAGAATTGTGATACATGTTTAATGAATGTTAATTAGTAAATTTGGGTATCTTCTACACACTTATCCGCGGCACAGTGGTTGGTTGAGGCTGTAGTCTTTCACCGTGAGCTCGCGAGTTCGAATCATGCATATTACTCTTTGGGCTCACTTTTTCTAAAAATAAACCTTATTAATATATTGTTGTAGTACTTGGATTCTTGCCCCATAAAAAATAGCTTTTCATCATTTGTTGTTCATTGTTCATAAGAAAATGCATTCATTAAGAGTTATAATATTAAGAAAATGCTCTTTTTCTTCCAAGGGTCTAACTTCCAACCATATTGTTTATCCCCTGCCCAAAATAAAATAGCAAGAAATTCATTGCTCCAGCATAAAGCTATCAAAAAAGCTTGTCGTTCGTGATGTTTCGTGTTTGTCTCGTTAAATATTTTGTTTTATTCATTTTTTAAGCGAGTAAGCCGAGCATGAATTATTTTTTTAGAGCTCGAGTTATCAACGAGACGAACACAAACAAAAGTTAGTTTGCTTTTGTTTGATTGGATTTGGCTTTAAATAATTAAATAATAATATTTATTTATATTTTTATACTAGTGTTTAGTATTTTTAAAGGTGGTATAATTATAAAAAATATAAATTTTTTTGTGTTAGATACGTAAATACATAAGATTTGGGTGGTTTGTATGTAAATATCCCTAAAATAGCTTTAGAGATGATGGACGGCCTGTACATGCATTTCAACTGGGGATGGTAGATTTGTAAATACATAAAAACTGAGTGATATATAACTAAACGCCTACTGGAATTTTACTACTCCCCAACCTACCCTTGTTCTCGACTTTAAGGGTAAGACATGTAAATTCATAAAAAATGTGTGGTATGCA